CTAGAAGGCTATTGAGAGGTACTTTGGCAAATGACGAGCGAAACGAAAACAGAGTGATCAATGGTGCCATCGAAAAACTTGCGGGTCTGGCTAAGACGGGCGCATTAAAGATAAGCGAAAACGCGCGGTACTGGCTGGGGAGGGAGCAGCCGGCAGACGAGATTCTAAGAATGTTCAAGCTTGAGAATGGTATGGAAACGGCTCTTGCCAGTCCGAATCTAAAGAAACTTGAAGAATACGTGAGCGAATTGAACGTAAAGAGTGGAAACAATAAAGCTTCGGTGATTGAAATATTCATAAAGCACTACGGAGACGATAAGGTGGCGAAAGCGCTCGTGACTGCGCAGAGGAAGGCAGATATGGTAGATGGGGAGAATATGATCAGTCAGTTACGGGATGCTCAATTATCGTCTTGGCGGGAGAGTGAGAAGTCCGTCGACGATGTTTTCACGTTGCTAAAGCTTAGAGAGGACGGGTATCGAGCCTTTGGCAGTCCGAAGATGCAGGCACTGGAAGACTATACGAAGAGGGCTCCCCTTACGAATCCAGTCCAGAAAAACTTGCTTCAGACCTTAACGACAGGCTTCGGTGGAGAACGGAAACTAGCGAGGTTGCTTGTGGTTGCAAAGAGAGATTCTAACTCGAAAGATCTGGCGACGGCGATGCAGAAAGCGCTGCTGAAAAAATGGATGCAGGTGGATAAGATGAATCCTGAAGACGTCTTGAAGAAGCTCAGATTGGAAGATGATGCCATGGAAAAGATCCTAACTGACAAAAACCGATACACTTTGGTTGAGTTCATTTCGATGTACAACGCAAAGAATCCGGACACGACGACATCGTTGATCAGAGTTCTTTCCGCGCATTATGGTGTTGACGGTGTGGCGAAGAGACTCGTGACTGGGTCAACGGGGACGAATACAAAGGTAGTTGCGAAAAAATTACGCGCTGAGCAACTCAATGAGTGGCTGATAAGTGGGAAATCTGTGAACCATGTTTTCAAGATGCTGAAGCTGCGCGATGATGGATATTTAGCTCTTACTAGCCGCAAGTTGGAGGTGTTAGAAGACTATATAGCTGCGTCCAACAGCAAAAAAGGTGGAGATGAAACTTTGCTCAAGGCGTTGACGACTGGATTCGGTGGAGAAACTGAAATGAAACAAATACTGGCGATGGGAAAGTTAAACCCTTACACGATAAAAAGGGCCATGTCCTTGCAACTTGAGCAGTGGCTCGTGGACAATTTAAAGCCAGAAGATGTCTTGCAGAAACTTGGATTGGGCCGTGGTCTAGAAGATGCTATTCCCAACAAAAATTTGCAGTATTTGGACTCCTTTATTTCGATGTACAAAGCTGCATATCCAAACACCAAAATATCATTGACTGGGACGCTTTCAGCGCATTACGGGGACGATGTTCTCGCGAAGGTGCTAGCTGCTGCGTTGAATAAAGGTGAGACGAGAGCTTTAGCGTCAAACTTGCAGAAGCAGCAGTTTGAAGGATGGCTGGCTAGTGAGAA